AGATAGATAGATAGATAGATAGATAGATAGATAGATAGATAGATAGGCAGGTAAGACAGACAGATAGATTCCACAGTGGTTCTGGGAGTCACAAAGAAGTAACAACATTAACTTCATCTTTTCACAGTAATGTCTATCTTCTGTCATCTGACCTTGAAGCTACTCACCCAGAATGCCCTTGTGGAGATGGCTCACTGAGAAAAGTGTTCCCTTTGCGTAGTGTTTTGAATAAGAATGGCCCTCATAGGCTTATATATTTGAAATGGGATTCTTTCATAGTATTAGGAGGTGTGGCCTTGTTGGAGGAAGTGTGTCCCTGGGGGGGTGGGCTTGAAGTTTCAAAAGCCTATGCCAGGCCCAGTCTCTGGTACCCACCATGATGATAATGGACTAACTCTCTGAAACTGTAAGCAAGTCCCCAATTAAATGCTTTCTAAGAGTTGCTTTGGTCACAGTTTCTCTTCACAGCAATAGATCAATGATTAAGACACTTGCAAGGATAGGGACCTGAGTTCAGATCATCAGGCCCCATGTCAAAGCATGGTATGGCAGAGGGCACCTGTAATCCCAACACTGGCAGGTAGAGGTTGGCAGATCCTAGTACTTATTGGACAGCCAATCTAGCTAAAGCAGCACGATCCAGGTTCAGGGAAAGCTCCTGCCTCAACAAAAATAATATGGAGAGTGACAGAAAAAGGCACCCACAAATTCAATCTTTGGCCTTCTTGTACACATACATAGGCAAATGGATGCACCCACACCTGACTTTTGGGTCCTTTTTATTTCCTCTGGTCCTTCTCCTTAAAAGCAAACAGGAGAGAACAGTAGATTGAAATCACAAGCTGAACTGGAGATATGGCTCAGTTGATAGAGTGCTTACCTTGAAGATTGAAATCAATCTATGCCAGAATGCTTCAAGAACATCTTTAATAATTTAAAACTCACATAATTCAAGAATAATTTTCCCAAAAGATGGAAAAGAATACATTGTGAGGGGAGAGTGTTATTGGATGGGGGTGAATTGGAGGGGAGGAGATGGAGAGAGTATTTCAAGAAAATGCATTACAGACATATATGAAAGCCTTCTTGTGAAAAAACAATTTTTCAAGAATAGTAGCAGGTAGTTCCACTTTCCAGCTCCACAGTAGTAAAGAAAAAAGAAAAAGAAATTACTGCATCTACCAGCTTTAAATATATGTGATTGCTGATTTTTTTCCTCAGTTAGAAAGATTCTCATTTCAAATTTTAATCCAGAAATAACACTTAGTAAGTGTATTTCTGTCACATGACTTTCGATTCCCGGAATCTGAACTCATGCAAGCATGAGTCTATATGAGATTATTTCCATCCTCCCCACTCCCCACCCCATTCTAAAGAGGAAGAAGGGTTCTTCCTTGAGAGTTAACCACACTTTTCTCTGTGGTATATGCAATATGAATATTGATAGGAGACTTGGAAAAGTAAAGCCAAATTGATCACTCACTATAGCATGAATAATAAAAACCCAGAGACAGATAATGGAGTTTAACCTGAAGATCAGAAAAGCAAAGCAGCCAGCCACTGGTTCTTACCTCTATCTCAGACTGAAATGGTGAACCTGCCTCCAGGAATCTCAGAATGAGACTGAGCTGAGACCTGTCTCCTCCTGTTTTATATTCCTCTACAATGCTGGGATTAAAGGCATGCACCACTACTGCCCAGTTTTTATGGCAAACTAGTGTGGCTCCTGGGATTAAAGGTGTGTGCTGCCCCTGCTTGGTCTGCATGGCTGACTACTGTGGCTGTTTTACTCTCCGATCTTCAGGCAAGCTTTATTTATTAAAATACAAATCGGTACAACTCACTCCAGAAACCAAATGAGCCGTGCAGTGTTGGAGGCAGAGAACACTAGTGCTTAGGAGAGACCCAGTGCATACCATGTCACAGACACGGAGCTGACTGTTTCTTTCGGGATCTTCATTTTCTTGTTAAGTTTCTCATGTCACATAAAACCTAATATATTCATAGGACTAGGAAGGTTGCTCAGTTGGTATTGCACTTGCCTGGGATGCGCAAAGCTCTGAACTCCAACTCACAAACCTAGAATAATGTGCCACATAAACCTTGCATAATGCCGAATACTTGTAATCCCAACACTCTGAATATAAATCAGACAGGAAAATTAGAAGTCTGAGGTCATACTTGCATACATAGAGAATTTGAAGCCAACCTGAATACATGAAAATAACAACAGGGATAGAAAGGAAGAGGTGAGGTTCAGGGATGTAGCTTGATACTTGCCTAGTAAATTGGAGAGCTCCTAGGTTCAAGTCCCAGCACCAAAAGAAAGAAGAAAAGAAGAAACACAGGAAGGGAGGGGAGGAAAAGGGAAAGAAGAGGAAAGGAAGAAAGGGAGAGAAGCAAGAAGGGAAAAGAGAAAAGAAAGGTAAAAAGGAAAAGAGGAAGTGGTTGAAGGAGTACTGCAGTGATGAGAAGTTTTCTTTTTTTTTAAGTAAATTTTATTAAATTATAAAAGTTTCCATTTCCGCCCCCCCTTCCAACACCCTCCCACTCCCCCCACTCCCCCTCCTCCTCCCTCTTCGTCCCCCAGGGCAGTCAGGGTTTCCTGCCCTGTGGGAAGTTCCAGTTCCTTCCCCCTCCCTCCAGGTCCAGGAAGGTGAGTGTCCAAACAGACTGGATCCCCAAAATCCAGTATATGTAGAGGTAACAGGTCCCAGTGTCATAGCCAATGGCTTTTCAGAAAGACTTCGGGCCAGCCACAGTCAGAGAATCCGGCCAAATTCCGAGAATCTGGTTAGATCACCTCCTCGTTCAGTCCCAGTCCAACTGGCCTTGGTAAACTCTCATCAGATCCGTTCCCTTCTATCAGTGGGTGATAGCATCCCTCGCAGTACTGATTTCGTTTTTCATGTTCTTCCTCCTTCTGCTCCTCTTTTGGACCTCGGGGGGGCTCAGTCCGGTGCTCCAATGTGGGTCTCCAACTGTATCGCCGTCCTTCGCCAGATGAAGGATCTATGGTGATAAGCAAAATATACATCAGTATGGTCATGGGCCACGGCCGATTCAGGCACCCTCTCCTCTGTCCAGAGAGCAATCTGGGGGATCTCTCCTTGGACCTGGGATCCCATATATAATCAAGTCTCCTGTAAACCCTAAAATGGCTCCCTTAGTTGAAATATATTCTTCCCTGATCCCATATTCATCCTTCCTCCCTCCCCCCCCCCATACCCGGCCACCAAGCTTTCCCCGTTCCTCCCCTACTCCCTTCTCTCTAACCCTCTCCCCTTCCATCGACCCTCCCACCCCCCCATGCACCCGAGGTTACCTGGGACTCTTGTCTATTTCCTACCTCCTGGTGGATAGCTAAATAATCTTCATCAAGTTCATCT